ATGCAGCTGATAACAGAGGTCATGTGATCAATTATAAGAGAACAAAAAAAGTATTTAGATTTTTATACATATATAATCGTTAAATGTTGGCAGTGATATTGAAAATATGACCGATCATACAAAAATAAAACAACCTGTTTTTTATTTAAGGATAGTAATCCTATGAAGCAATTTATTATCACATAGTTGTATAGCCCTGATCAAACGTTTACATAGCATAAACATAGTTACATACTTAGTCTGGCTGAAAAAAGACAAAAGTCCATCCAGTTCCACCATTAAAAAAAAAAACAAAAAAAAACCCTGGAATGTTAATCCTTGGTACAGACACACAAGGTGACACACACAAATAGCAATTAAAGGTTAAATTCCCACATCTGTGACTTTTTAAATTGCAATTAGTATCCGTGTAGAAATGGTCAATGAGTTTGTTAGCCCTTACATGGATGCACTGAGCAGGTTAGATACTGAGCCATGAAGAACAGAAAAGAACTGGCAAAAAACCCACATAACAAGGTAATGGAACTTTATAAAGATGGAAAAGGATATAAAAGATGTCCAAAGCCCTGAATATGCAGTACAGTACAGTCAGTACAGTTGTCACTTAAGGAGTGGAAAATTCATGGATTTCCTGACACCAAGCTAAGTACAGGTAGAGCAAGAAAGAATGCAACCACAACTGCCAAAATAATTTTTTGGGTTTTTCTTTATATCCTTGATTTTACCACTTCTTACCAAGTGATTTAACAGTACTGACTGGCATATTCAAAGCTTTTGATATCATTTTCCATCTTTTTAAAGTTTCATTATCTTGTTATGAGGGTCTTTTGACAGTTTTGACTGCATTGCTTTTACATATTCAAATAAATGGATGGTACCTTAGGAAATGCATGATGCTGGTGCACTCTTCTTATGCGCTTTCATCCAGTTTCCAGGATGATCCATATCCTAAGAGAGCAGCAAGGCCTGAGGTGCACCAGATTTACCATATATTGCTGGAGCTAGCAAGGAAGCCTATTACCTTTTGGTTTTCTTCTCCAAACACACTTGAGAACAGGACAGTGACATTTTGTGTGTAGACTTCGCTCCAAAGCATACCTGCTCTAAATGTATCCATTGTTATATACATCTCAAAATAAGATCTTGATTGGTGTTAGAGACCACACTTTGCAGAGGCGTATTGGTGCAGCAGTGCGGCTTTACATACAGTTTATTTGCAAATTTATACAATAAACCCCATTTTTAATGCAAATTGTTGAAGAAACATTTTAGACTTTTTGTACTAAATATTAAGTAAGTGTGCTGCGGTACTATTATTCTGTGAACTGCCCTACCCAAGTGTACTTTGCTTATTTTAGGTATAAATGGACCTGAATGGATGCCATTTTTACTTTACTTGTTGATAGGGAAATTGCAAGATACATATTTCCTGATCAATGTTTGCCTCACAAATGTTTTAGAATACCTTCAAGCCTTGGTAAAGGGCTATAAGGGGACAAGGTCTGATTACCCTAAATAACAAAGGAATGTGACTATTTGGACAAGCCAGCTCACTCCTCACTCTCCTTTCTTTAGAAGGTCATCATGTTGTTTGTATGGGGGGGGGGGGTTTGCTTACACACAAGTTTGGTATTATTATTATACAGGATTTATATAGCGCCAACAGTTTGCTCAGCGCTTTACAATATAAAGGGAGACAATACAGCAACAATACAGTTCAATACAAGAGGGATAGGAGGGCCCTGTTCCTTGGAGCTTACAATCTAGGATATAACACACAGCTAGACTGTAAATATTTGTCTCGTGTTAGAGCTGCAATATGCATTAATCTGTGGTCACCTGTGTGCCATGCCATATAATGGAGGGACCCATGGTGGAAACAGACTCTTTAGTTAAGTATTCTTGTTATAATTTCTTTATCTTTGTATCTGTCATTACTTGTAATAAATGTCTTACTTATAAGTATTTGTGTGATCTCTCTTTGCACATATCGAATACAACCCCAAAAACATAAGGAATTAAGATTGTGGCACAAGAAAAAGTTTAATCAGAAAAATCTGTCCAAAACAGTCAAATGTCTTTTGCATGAAACCTTTATTAAAAATTTACAGAAAGTTTGACGACATGAGAATGAATAACATTAACCACATTATAAGTAAATCTGGTCCTCTTGTCTCATAGTGTATTGTGTTGCTTTATGCTTACAACATTACAATACTGATCATATAATTACTAATCCAGTTAAACATAAGCTTGGGAATGTTCACATTCTGTAAACACAATACTACGGAGGACATTTCAAATGAACAAATAAAGACAGCCTGCATTATTCATTGAGGTGTGTGAAAAAAGAAAATGATTCCTTACAGTGTATGAAAACCCAAAAAATGAGCTTCTCATATGTTCTGGCACATCGTCCGTTGTTATTGGGTGTTTAAAGGAATTAAACAGGGAAACTACAAATGTACTCCAGAAATAATGTGTGTGTGTGTGTGTGTATGTATATATATATATATATATATATATATATATTAGTGCACCGAAATGAAAAACCGAAATGTCTGCGTATGTGGGGGTGGAGAGGTCCTCTTTGTAGGGGGGAGGGGGGGGGGCAGTGTGTGCAAGGAGGGGGCAGGAGAGGAGCAGTGTATACAGAGAGGCTCCCTCACTGGCTCTCACTATATTTCCGGCTTTTTTTTTTTTCTTCATATATATATATATATATATATATATATATATCTAAACACATACACACACATATATACACACACACACATATATATATATATATATATATATATATATATATATACACACACACACATATAATGCTTTAAAGCACCCGTTTGTGTGAGTTTTCATCACACACCTTCCTTTGTGGAAATGCTAGTTAGGTGGCTGTCATGCTTTGGCTTGTCAGTCAGTGACTTAGAACAAGTACAGAGGTAAGGAATTCTGACTCTCTTTTGCAGCATGCTTATTCTGTATCTGTTATTCATAAGTACTGCAGACTGACAAGGCCAAACAACCTGGATTGCATAAGTATGATGAGACAACTGCTCAGCAGACTCTACAAGAGCACATTAGAGCATTCCCCTTCCCACAGTGAATATGCAGGTATATTCCCATATGGAATTGCCTAAGATAGGTGATTTTAATTTCATAAATGCCTGTAACAGTTTACTGAATCCTATTATCAGTAACTAAATGCAGAATGCAACCCTACTACTTGACTGTATATAGCTCCCATGGAAATCAGCAACCATGTACACTTATCCAACTTTACAAGTATCTATGCAGCTTGCTCTCAGAATTAGTTTCATTATAAATATCAGTTTCCTTATAATGATATTACCAGATTTTTTTAAGGAATAAGATGGTAAACATATCTGACCTTTTTCTTGCCCGCATTTAAAATCCTTTTTTGTTGTGTGCCTCAGTCAATCTGTTCCATTGATCAGGCACTAACATTAGGCTGCCTGTACACTGGTGTCTTTCCAACACAGGTTGTCTGAGAAATGCTGCTGAAATGTACCATGTGTACAATAATCACAAGGTAAATGCTGGCTGTATGCCAGTAGCACCTACGGCATCAGGTATTATTGTGTGTATTCATTCACCAGTGCAAAAGGGTCCTTACAGTGACAAAACAATGGCTCAAAATGTTCTCTAGGCAATACAGCAGTAAGATAATAATGTACAGAAAGCAGATTTTGTATTCCACCATATCAAACAATTGTAATCTACAAAATTTAAAATACTACTCATAAACTTACTATTAAAGGGGCAGTAGCGCCTAAGACACTAAACTATACTAAACACATTCAGCTCAAGTGAAGAAGTCATGAAAGGACCACAGGGATCATCCACAAGGCAACCTAGGCAGTCTATGGCTGGTGGATGTTCAGGGGCTTAGTTACAATTTTAATTTTTCTTCTGTTAAACCAAGGGATAGTGTAATTAGGTAAAGCTATGCACTGACCTGTCACTTCACACAATTGAGGACACACTTGTTGGCAAGTTGGTGTCTGATGGGACCATGCCAGTACAGACACTGCAAAATGAGCAGCTTCTCTGTGCTTACTTTAATCGAAGGGATGAGGGTTCAAAGCTTCTACCCACTTTGGACCCTATCTACATTTACATGTATCGGACAAACTGATTAAGAAAAATTAAAGTGAAAGTAAAGGCAAAACCTAACTAACACAAACCTACTCTCAGTCACATTCTAAGCCTAATCTATCTAGCCTTGTAAAGCAAATTTCTATACTTATCTGTTCTGCAGCCACTCCGCTCCGTTCCCACACTGAGCTGTCAGTGGCGACTCCAGCATGTAGGCGTGTGCAGGAGAGGCAACTGAAAACGGAAGCCTCACAGTAACTCTATGGGTGATGTCACTTCCCAGCCATGTCTCCAGCACAAAGACGGTGCCGCTGGAGATCGGACCGGAGCGGCTGCATAACAGGTAAGTATAGCAATTTTTTTTTCTTTTCGGGGCTAGATAGATTAAGCTTAGAATAGGGCTGAGTAGGTTTGGAGTTAGTTAGTATTTGCCTTTATTTCTACTTTAAGGAAAGTCAAAGAAGAGTCAGCAGTCTCAGTATTTGCATGCTTGTTTGAGGTTGATAACTCAAAATCGTGAAGTGAGGCTCTTTGTGACAACTGAGAAACTAGCTTTTTCAGGCACAGCCAAGTAATGGAGACCTCTGTCTCGCTCATGACGGGATTAATTTAAGCTTATAGATGACCTTACTTCCAATGATTCATCTTTATTTTCACACTTAATCAAAATCAAGCAAATTCCTGCAGAAAATATTTATGTAGCAGCAAAAGCTTATCAGCTGAGGTTGAGTTCCCGTCTTTCTAATGGCACAAGAGATTGCATTTGAGAGGATGGAGGTTAGAGGTGTTCAACTGTTAACTTTTTTAGCTACTACAGTAGGGAAGATGATGTAAGTGGGGAAAACAAGATGCACTTTATTGCCAAAAGTATTGGGGCACCCCTCCAAATCATTGGATTCAGGTATTCCAATCACCTCCATGGCCACAGGTGTAACAAATCAAGCACCTAGGCATGCAGACTACTTCTACAAACATTTGTGAAATAATTGGTCGCTCTTAGCTCAGTGAATTCAAGCATGGTACAGTGATAGGTTGCCACCTGTGCAATAAGTCCATCTGTGAAATTTCCTTGCTATTAAATCTTCCACGGTCAACTGTTAGTGGTATTATAACAAAGTGGAAGTAACTGGGAACAACAGCAACTCAGCCACAAAGTGGTAGGCCACCTAAAATGACAGAGCGGGGTCAGCGCATGCTGAAACGCACAGTGCACAGAAGTCGCCAACTGTCTACAGAGTCAATAGCTAAAGACCTCCAGACTTCGTGTGGCCTTCAGATTAGCACAATAGTGTGTAGAGAGCTTCATGGAATGGGTTTCCATGGCCGAGCAGCTGCATCCAAGCCTCACATCACCAAGTGCAATGCAAAGCATCAGATGCAGTGGTGTAAAGCATGCCGTCACTGGACTCTAGAGAGGTGGAGATGTGACTAATCACGCTTCTCTATCTGGCAATCTGATAGATGTGTCTGGGTTTGGCGGTTGTCAGGAGAACGGTACTTGCCTGACTGCATTGTGCCAAGTGTAAAGTTTTGGGGGATTATGGTGTGGGGGTTGGCTTTCAGGGGTTGGGCTTGGCCCCTTAGTTCCAGTGAAGGGAATTCAATAGGCATCAGCATACCAAGACATTTTGGACAATTTCATGCTTCCAACTTTGTGGGAAGAGTTTGGGGATGGCTCCTTCCTGTTCTAATATGACTGTGCACCAAAGCACAAAGCAAGTCCATAAAGACATGAATGAACAAGTTTGGGTTGGTGGAACTTAATGGGCCTGCACAGAGTCCTGACCTCAACCAGACAGAACACCTTCGGGATGGATTAGAGCAGAGACTGCAAGCCAGGCCTTCTCGTCTGACATCAGTGCCTGACCTCTTAAATGTGCTTCTGGAAGAATGGTCAAACATTCCCATAGGCACACTCCTAAACCTTGTGGACAGCTTTCGCAGAAGAGTTGAAGCTGTAACAGCTGCAAAGGGTGGCCCAACTTAACATTGAACCCCAAGGATTAAGACTGGGATGCCATTAAAGTTCATGTGCGTGTAAAGGCAGGCGTCTCAATACTTTTGGCAATATAGTGTATGTGTGCATGGAGATCCACTAACTGAATATTTTGCATGGCAGACAATTACAATGTCAAGACAGGGGAGCAGATTACATACTAAATGCCAATTGCTGTATAAGAGTTGATTATTCTCTTGCTGTGTCTTTCAATACCTATACTGTCAGAATGATTGAAATGGAATTTCAAGGCTGAATCAGTGAAAATGAACATTAAATTATCTAAATCCATATAGAATTATTAAGCAATTTTCCAGTCCTTTAAATAAGATTTTTGTACTTCCCAAGATCAGAGTTTAGATTCTATATGTATCCACTGACATACACCCCATACACACACCAGAAACACACTGAACACTTATGTCTGCCTTCATACAAGTTATCACCTGGTAAGAATCCCAGGTTCGCATTGTAAAGTGGTATTTTGCAAAGTACTGTCCATTGTAGATACAGAAGTATTAACATATCAGCAGACTGTTGGGTACACTGAGAAAGCAGCAAGACTTTTGGATGCTCGGCTGCCGCACTAGACAACAAGTTTTTCAAATGCTCCTTTGGCAGTGTTAGCAGGTGAACAGAAAACATCATTGACTGATGGTGTCACTTCATTCTTCTTTCATCCAATGTTTTTCTTCTTTACCTGCTTAGACCGTCGGGCTTTCAGAATGGTGTAATTAGCATACGTTGTGTGCCAGCTAGAGACAAATGGAACATAAAATGCACGGAATAGTTTTGAAGACCTGAAAAATACAAGAAAGTTATGTGCTAAATTTTTGAGCCACAAATTGTTGCAATTTAAATTAACTTTTTACCTAGTATAATCTGTACACAAATAGCATTCCAAAGCACAAATCCAAAAACCGAAACTGTGTTATAAACCAGTGGTCCCTAACCTCTCTGGCACCAGCTTCACGGAAAATGACCTATCTGTTGACTGGGGGGTTCCCTTACCTGTCACTCACATCTTTGTTTGGATGTCTTTGGCTGACCACATAAGCTCAATTTATTAAGAGAAAAACATTATTATTACGATTATTGTAAATATATATATATATATATATTTTAAAGTCTATATTGGTACCTGCTTGGCTGATCACATAAGCCCTATTTATTATTGTTAAAGAAGAACTCCGGAATAGGCAAAACAAATTACCCATTAGTACACTCCTCTACACAAAACACTGCACAGTTAATACATTTGTGAAATTCTTTACCATTGAAGAGAAAAGTCTAAATGAATTTTCAGGAAGTCATCATTGTAGTTCGAAAATAACAGCATCTGCTCTGCCAGGAAGGAGGTGTAACAGCCGGGATTACATCATATCTTCTCCGCTCTCTACAGGTAAAGGAAACTACAGTTCCCATCAACCTTTGGGAATTGCAGTGAGTGTGGGCAGGTACATGTTGAATGTGTACTCGCCCACTTCAACATAAATCACGCCCCCTCACTCTCCAGCCACACCGTTCAGCACCACACAACAGGACAGTTAGGTGACAATCCTATAAATGTAAAGCATGTATGTGCAAAAAATTTAGTTCATTCTATGTAGTCTACTTTCATTAAAGATTACATTTTCCCTCTAGGTTTTCCATTACTGGTTGTGGCTGCTATCGTCACATGCCATCTCTCCCTATCCAGCCACAACAGGAGATAAACTAATCGATCAGAGACCTATTACAGGAGATGACGTGAAATATATCCCATGGGGTCACAGACAAACACATTTATAGTACAGCAAGGAAGCACCTCTGACAATGCTTTTATGGCTGTTCCTGTGCCAGGATCAGGATATGAGGGGACGTTTCCCTCCAGTGGGGTCACAGGGACTCGGAATTGTTGGGAAGACTCCTTTCATTGGTGTCATAGAAACACAAAGCGAGGGGAAGGCTCCCTTCAGTGGTGTCACAAACAAGAAGTCTCCCTCCAGTGGTGTCACAGGGTCAGGAACTGAGAAGTCTTCCGCCAGTGGTATCACAGGGATAGAAAGTGAAAGGAAGTCTCCCTCCAGTTGGGTCACAGAAACAGGAAGTCTCCCTCCAGTGGGGTCACAGGGTCAGGAAGTGAAGGGAAGTCTCCCTCCAGTGGTGTCACAGGGACAGGAAGGGGAAGTCTCTCTCCAGTGGGGTCACAGGGACAGTATTTGAGGGGAAGTCACCTTTCAGAGGGGTCACAGAAACAGGAAGTCTCCCTAAAGACTGTTCTGGATACCAGCAGTTGTGGTAACTAAACATCGTTTAGCATGGGTTGGCATGTATGGTAGAACAGTATAAATTGGCAGGGTCAGCTTGACTTGCAGTTCTACAGTAGCTGGAGAGGCAGCTGTTCTATGCTATATCACTTATACATTTTAAAGCAGTTCTTCTCAACATTTTACTCCACGGGAACCCCTAAAATAATTTTCAGGTCTCAGGGTAACCCTTCCTAAAACCAATTCATTGAGAGTCAGTGCAAAAAATGTCCGCCTTATGTTGGTGGCCAGTAAATGAAATGCCCCCCTTATGTCAGTAGTTGGTAGGAAGAATGTCCTCCTTACACTTGTCAGTGGGAAGAATTCCCCTGTTCTACCATCACTGCACCCTCCCTGCAGACGTTTCACTACCACTGTACACCTGCTTTGCTACCACTACACTATCAGCACATATGTTGCACCACTGTACCCCCTCTGCACACATGATCCACTGCTGTACTCACTGTACACAAGTTCCGTCGCTGGACCCCCTCTGCACACGGTCAATCTCTGTAACCCCTCTGCACACATGATCCACTGCTGTACTCACTGTACACAAGTTCCGTCGCTGGACCCCCTCTGCACACGGTCAATCTCTGTAACCCCTCTGCACACATGATCCACTGCTGTACTCACTGTACACAAGTTCCGTCGCTGGACCCCCTCTGCACACGGTCAATCTCTGTAACCCCTCTGCTCACATTCCATTGCTGTATCCATGCACGCTTTTCTATCACTGTACCCCCCTGCACACATATTCCATCCCTGTATCTCCTCCTCACACATGTTCCATCCCTGTAGCCCCTCCTCACACGTTCCATCGCTGTACCCCCTCTGCACACACGTTCCATCGCTGTACCCCCTCTGCACACACGTTCCATCGCTGTACCCCCTCTGCACACACGTTCCATCGCTGTACCCCCTCTGCACACACGTTCCATCGCTGTACCCCCTCTGCACACGTTCCATCGCTGTACCCCCTCTGCACACGTTCCATCAGTGTACTCCCTCTGCACACGTTCCATCAGTGTACTCCCTCTGCACACGTTCCATCAGTGGACCCCCTCTGCACACGTTCCATCAGTGTACTCCCTCTGCACACGTTCCATCAGTGTACTCCCCTCTGCACACGTTCCATCAGTGTACCCCCTCTGCACACGTTCCATCAGTGTACCCCCTCTGCACACGTTCCATCAGTGTACCCCCTCTGCACACGTTCCATCAGTGTACCCCCTCTGCACACGTTCCATCACTGTACCCCCTCTGCACACGTTCCATCACTGTACCCCCCTCTGCACACGTTCCATCCCTGTATCTCCACCGCACACATGTTCCATCTCCGTATCTCCACCGCACACATGTTCCATCACTGTATCTCCTCCGCACACACTTTCCATCACTGTACCCCCTATGCACACATGTTCCATCACTGTACCCCCTATGCACACATGTTCCATCACTGTACGTCCATGGCACACATGTTCCATCGCTGTACCCCATCTGCACACGTTCCATCGCTGTACCCCCTCTGCACACATGTTCCATCACTGTACCCCCTATGCACACATGTTCCATCCTGTACCCCCTATGCACACATGTTCCATCCCTGTATCTCCCCACACACATGTTCCATCCCTGTATCTC